TAAGATATTTGTGTTTTATTGTTTATGGACAGTTCAGTTTCAAATTGGTTTTCTTTCAGTCACTCAAAATTTCTGAGATTTTTTTTCCTTCCTACCATTTGGTGTATGCTGAGAAAATACAAACTAATTTGATACTAGTCTAAGAATATAAAATTACAGGGCTGACCAGTTAGCTCAGTTGGTTAGAGTACAGTATTGTAACACCAAGAATATAAAGTTTTAAAGGTAAATCACATAGGGGAAAGTTCTGCAATTCCAAAATAAGAACTACTACTACAACTAACCAATATTTATGTAGTACTTACTATGTCATGCATGTATTACTATTTAGGTAGAGCCACACTTAACTCATGTAATTCTCAAATCAACCCACTGTAGTAGGTACATGCATTATAAGGAAATTAAAGCACAGAAGAGTTAATGCAATTGTCCAAGGTCACATAGCTGTCAGAAGTAGAGCCAGGATTCAAATGCAGGCCATCTAGCCCCAGTCTGTGCTCTAAAACTTACTCTCATGTGAGTATAAGTATGTGTTTTTAACCTTATTTATTTTGTATTATTTCTGTTAATGTAACTCTATTTAGCTTATCAAGAGATAGGCTTTACTTTTATTTATAAAATGTTTTTTGCCTTTATCACATTTATAGGTATTAAAAAATAGAAATAAAATTACATAGCATTCTAGATGTTTTAAAAATCATCTCTTTCAAAAAATATCTCCTGCCTAATCTTTTTTCCCCAAGGAGAGAAGAATTGAAATAGATATTGTGCATCTCTAGCCTTTAGACCTCTCTTCTGAGCTCCTGACCTACAGTTCCAACTATCTGTTGGATACTTTTATCTGGAGCTTCGTAGGCAGCTCAGGCTTTATCTGTCTGTAACTAAAGTCACCGTTGTTTGTTTATTTTTAAATAAGGATCTTTCAGTGGCCAATTACAGCACATTTAGAGAGGAAAAAAAAAGCAACAACAATTTATGCTTTAAAATAACCGAGATGTCTGAAAGCTTAGGGCTAACTTCAAACTTCAAATGATGTTACCATGACATCTCTCTCTTTATCTTAAGAGATGGATTCATTTTCAGATAGGTTCTCTGCACCCTTTGTTTACAATGGCCTTTGGTGACTCCATGTACTTGTGACTCCACGTTTACCATTATCAGAGATTATATTTCCAGACTAGAGATGTGTCACTCCCCTGTTCTCCCCAGAATCCTCTCCCAAAAGGATTCTGATTGGTTACCTTGGGTTGCTTGCTC